CGCAGCACAATCTGTATGATTTTTTCGAATTCGATGAAATGTTTTAGAAACTGGTCTCAATGTCATAGCAAATGAGAAAAATTTAATTAAAAAGACATTCATTCAAAACATTCTAAAAAAACATTCTTCTAAATTTAAGAAAAACATTCTGCTGAATGATTAGTAATAGTGATAAATGAATAGCATTAGAAGTAATTATAATATCTTTAAACGATAAAAGCAAATCATGCCAATGAATTTTGAATATACTAAAAATTAACTTTCGGTGTTTGAATTAAATAGCTTTAGATGATCCAAGAATGAATTTAAATACTTTCATCAAATTAATAGGATCATTGAATAGTTGTTAAAATTATTTTCGCTTCCATTTTCATAGATAAGAAAAACATTTATTGTATTAAACTTAATTTTCTTTAAAACAATTTTTTTTCGATACATATATGCCTAATTGTATGATAGTAACACTATATTGTGCAGCAATTGGGCTAAATAAATTTTTGTTTTATTTAATTGAGGATATATTACATTCTTTCATAACTTCTAAATTAATTTAAATAATGATAAGCAATGTTTTTTTTTAAAAAAAAACCATTTTTTATATTTCCTAGTTTAGCTTCATGTATGCAGCTGTATATATTGCATAGTATTCAATTGCATCATACTTCTAGTATAAGTTTGATTAAAATTTGTAGTAGCACAATAGAATCGAATTTTGTTTTACTTTAACTTTCTAAGAAGTCTCTTTGGACTTAAAGCAAAGTTATTAAAGTTTATCAAATGGCTTTAATTAGAAATCAATCCAAAAACAATACAGACAGTATGAACAACATAAAGATGAAAGAACAAATGAAAAAAGCACATCGGTGAATGGTGTCGGACCCAAATATTGCAGAACCCAAAGAGGCTTGACGCTTCCTTATTGATGCAAGCTAATAATATTTATTTTAATATTTACAAAGAAATAAATGAACCCTTACAAATAAAAAGATTTTTACTATTGATGTTTATTACTAAAATAATGCGAATCATTTGAAACTATAAATACTATTTCTTTTGCTTTTCACTTTTGAACTAAAAAATAATATTCGCTATTTAATTAAATCGCATGATACACTTGTTGATATGTTTCAACTAAGTGTTCGTCTTCTTTTTTCTCAGCACTACGGCTTGTAACTTGTCAGACCTGTTTTAATTCATCGAGATCTCCCATATGCCAGCGGTATATGGGAGTATCTCTGATATGGTACTTAAGCGAGTTACTACGAAATCAAGTATAAATATTTTTAAGACGAAATACACGGCACTTAATTCAACCTAAAAATCTAAGTCACTTATTAAACAAAACTAAAAACAACATTCTAACGTAGCTAATTTTTCTAAAAAACGAAAGAAAGAAAAAGGATTAGAAACACTCTAAAATTTTGGAAAATTCTTCTTTTTTTTTTTTTTTTTCGATTCTTGCTCATGCGTTTTAATACCTTAATATTATGTAACCAAGTGTTTAATAGATAATATTTTAGTAAAGTTTATTAGTAAATACGTAATTACTCGAGATTCAATTTTTAGTATAACCCCATACAATTTACTGCTAGCATTGAAAAAACAATTTCAAATTGACTGAACTCATTCAACAATTAACATTGAAAGTAAACTGAATGTTTAAAACTGGGGTAATTACAAAAATATGTACTGTGTTTTTTTATCATATAATTTTGTTTTCTTATAAGCAGTTTCTTGGAGATTTTTTAAGTGAGATATAAGCTTTTCTACTTTTTTTAAACATATTAAAAATTGATATACCTAAAAATTCCAACTTAGTTTTGTAAATATTCAAATTCTTATTTTATTATTCTTATTTTGTAACTATTTAATTGAAGAGAAGAAAATGTATGCTCTAAATTTAACTTTTTGACGCAGACGGGACACTGATATCCCTCTTATATATTTTTTCTGACGCACTAATTGCAAACGAAAATATATTTTTGGACTTTTTAACTCTAAAACATTGTGTAATAGTTAGTAATAATTACTGAACAAAAACATTTGTTAAATTATTCAAATTACATCTGCATTAAAATACAAAATACAAAGGTAAGTAGTTTGATTAAAAAAAATTTATTGATATGAACTGAAATAAAGAAAACAGTCATAAATTTAAAACGTTTTAAACATGTTTTAAACAACGTTTTAGTTTCATGAGTTTAAAGTTAAAAGTATTAAAAAATCCAAGACCATCACTCGATAAGTAGCCAGAAAAAATTTTAAGTAACTGATTCATCAAGTAACTAGATTAAATTTAAATTCAAAATTTATTAAAAAAAATATCAATTAAAATTGGGGCCGAAATGTATTAGATAAGATTCGTAACTAAGCTTATAAAAAAATAATAATTATCTTTAAATAAGCGAAAGTTATTAAGTATAGCATTTTTAAATGAACTGAAATTTTTTAAAAAAAACAGTCATAAATTTTAAATGTTTAAACAATTTCAAAAGTTTCATGGGTTTAAAGTGAAAATTATTAAGAAGTTCAAGACCATTAACATATTGTTAGTTGAGTAACTGGAGAGAATTAAAAGTAACTGGTTCGTTAAGTAACTGGATCAAAATTAAACGTAAAATTTAAATTTAAATTATTACGAAAAAATTAAACTGAATTCTGGCCGAAACGTATAAGAAAAAAATCATAACAAAGTTTATGAAAAAAAACTATAATTATCTTTAAATAAACGAAAGATATTCATTACAGCATTTGTAAGTGAACTGAAATTTAAAAAAAACAGTCATAAATTTAAAACGTTTAATTAATTTCAAAAGTTTCGCGGATTTAAAGTGAAAAGTATTAAGAAGTTCAAGACCATGAATACATTGTTCGTTAAGTAACTGGAAACGAAAGTGATTAGCGAATCATTAGCACTAAACGCTCTATTGAAAACTAAATAAGAAAAAAAACTGTTCTTAAAAGGTTATCTGAGAAGTCTGTAAATATCATCGATTCATTAACTATTCTAAGAGTCTTTTAATGTTTTGGAAAATAGCGGAACAAAATTACTTAAAGACTTCTAATGACCAGAGCTATCTTGAGGAAATACAATCTACAGCAGCTGCTTCATTTGTGCCTTATATGACTTTAAAACTTGGCCCGAGTCTTCTTTTATAAGAAAGAAAATTATCCAATACTTAAACTCGAAGGAACTTTTTAAACAGAAGGGTCTGCTTCAATTATTTTTTATGAAAGAAAACTGCTACAAACAGAACTTATTTTTCTGGTTAAAAAACATTGAGGACCTGGCAGAACGCTTTTTCTAATAATTCCAGCAAGACGTAATTTTAAATCAAACAAATATTTTATGTCGCACGATGCCCTGATCGAATTAAAGATATTGTAGATGTTTTCAATCTAGATTTTTATGATCATTTTGCTTTTGTGTACAGAAGAAAAATTTATAATTTACAACTAACAATTTTCCTACATCATTGAATCCCCTCTAATTTACTTTTTATGACTAATTGTTCACTATGGAGGAAGGTAAATTTCATATATTTATAATAATTTAATACCTGAGGAAAAAAAAGAATAGTCTAAACTATCAGAGCATGGCAGAATTTATCGTATTCCTTAATTTAAGGGAATAAAAAACCATTTTTGTGCTGAGGTAATCTGAAACTTTTTACAGGGCCCATAATCTCAGTTTTATTCACTTTTTCACATTTTTATTAACTTTTATTTTACTTTTTCTTTATTGATTGATTGATTCTTTGTTTGCTGAATTACTGACAATGCATATTTTCATGTGCATTGGAATCAATTTATGGCTTTATTTCAAAAACATTTCTTTTGGAAAACATGCAAATTTTTAGTAATACATCTTTATGCTAGTTCTCTAAAATGATTGTTATTTCATTAATTTTATATAACTTTCTGCATGATGACAACAATTCTGTGCTTAAAAATCTATTTAGTTTATCTCAACACCAAAAATGATGGTAACACAGCACAAAGGTTTTTACAGTATACTAAATGTTTGGTAATAAGAACTATATCTTTGAAAAGGAGAATTTCCGGTAAACCATTACCATATGAATGAAAACATTTTTATATGAATGTTTTAAATACCATATATTTTGGTTTTAATAACCAGAATAATGATTTCTTACCAGAAATGTCATAGTTAAGGGCAGAAGTGTTTTTTATGTCAAACTGTTCCCTAGCGTTGTTTCCTTATAAATACATTACTTTTTTTTAATATAATTTAAATGTTTACTTAAAATCTTTAGTATCGGCAAAACCGCTAAAAGTCAAACATAAAGATGATAGCAAGCAACTTTTATCAGAAATATTGCAAGTAACTTTTTTTTTATTATTGAGAGTAATTTCCCATGTTGATGTTTCACTTACTAAAATAACATTTTAGATGATTTTTAAGAAGATACAGATCAGCGGTTTGGAAAAAGGTTCCGTAGAACTGTTACAGGTTCTTCAAAAGTCAGGTTTTAATATAAGTGATAAAATCTATATTTATATCCAATTCAACCGTCATGGCTCAGGGGATAGAGTGTTCGCCTTCCAATGAGGTAAACCTGGGTTCGAATCCCAACTATGCTGGTCGATACGCTGGCGCCGACCACAGTGCTGACGCAAAATATCCTCAATGGTTGTGGAAAATAGAGTGATAGTTTTTGTAAATATATGTCTGACGTCGCAAAGTTATTTTATATGTTCTTTAAATTGTAATTATTATATTTGTTAAAAGAGAAAATGGCAACGATGTTTGTATTCGAATGTTGATTAAATGATAAGGGTGAAAGTTAATGCATCGTGTCAAGTTATTTTCTACTAGAATTATTATAATCTTGTAAAGTATAGAAATTAAATGGAGTCAGATAATTAATAAGCTGAGTACGACTGAATGAAACAATATTCAGGGAGATACTACCGACATTAGTGGTGACCGACGGACGTGATTCTTTAAAAGGTACTGTGTCTTTAAGTTTTAAGTTATGGAACTCTTGATTAAGAAACGCTCGCCAATTAGAGGCAATTTTACCAAAACTTACAATGCATTAACTAAATTGTTGGCGGAAGAAAATCCTAAGGAGGAAAATATTAAAGTAAATTACGCTAACTTAGAAAGAATTTATCAGTCTTTGACGATATTGGACAATGAAATCTGCGACATGTTAATAGATACTTCCGAGCAGCAAAAATACGATGATGAATATAATGCTATCGAAGAATATAATGAAAAAATGGTTTCTGCGAAAGTAAATTTCGAGCTTTTTTTGGCGAAAAACGCAAGTTTAGATAGAATAAGTTTAGATGGTTGTTCGTTGTCAACGAAAAGGAAATTGAAATTGCCAAAAATAGAATTAGTGAAATTTAGTTCAGAGTTAAAAGATTGGCTTTCCTTTTGGAGCCAGTTTAAAAGAATACACGAGGATAATGAATTAGAAAATGAGGATAAATTTCAATACTTAATTCAATGCATCAGCAAAGGAACAAGAGCTAGAGAAATAATCGATAGTTTTCCGCCCACTAGTGAGAATTATAAAAAGGCGATTGAAAGTTTAAAATCTCGATTTGGGCGAGATGAGTTGTTAATTGAATTTTATGTGAGACAACTTCTTCAACTGGTTGTTCAAAATGCAAAAGGAGCCAAAAATAAAATTAACACCAGTAGTTTGTATGATAAGTTAGAATCATATCTAAGAGCGCTGGAATCAATTGGCTTAACCTCCGACAAATACGCCGCCATGCTTTTTCCACTTGTAGAATCATGCATTCCGGAGGATGTTTTTAGGGTATGGCTAAGAAACCCAGGCGCCATTACAGATGATTCATCAAATAATGTTTACAGCACAAAGTTAAAAAGTTTATTGGCATTTCTCAAAACCGAAGTAGAAGGAGATGAACGAATTCGTTTGGCGCAATCCAGTTTTGAAAATGATCGAAATCGTTTGGAACAATCCAGTTTTGAAAATGAACGCCGCCAACGAAAAGAGAAATCGCCACAATTTACTACTGCTAATGATTTGTTCTCGGGAACACTTGAAAAGAAGAAAATAAATCATCCTTGTGTATTTTGTGACAAAGTGCACGACAGTAAGGAATGCTTTCACGCTCAAGCACTGAATTGGGAACAAAAGCAAGAAATTTTACGTAATAAGAAGTGTTGCTTTCTATGTTTGAAAATCGGACACAGATCAAAATTCTGCAAAACTCGGGTAAAATGTGTTTTGTGTAGCAAAAGGCATTTGGTGTTAATGTGTCCAGAATTGCCAGCTAACAAACTAACTGAAAAGAAATCCGACTTGACCTCGCCAAAAGTCAGTTTGACAAGCCATTGCAGTACAGAGGACGTGTTACTTCAAACATTAATTGTGAAGTTGAAATCAAGAGGTAAAACACGCCAAGTTCGAGTTCTAATTGATAGTGGATCGCAAAGGTCATACATACTTGAACGTACTGCTGAAACTTTTGGCTTGGATCCAATAGAGAAGAAAAGTTTCATACATGCATTGTTTGGCGGATTTAATACTCAGGAAAAGCATCACAAGCTCTTTAAAGTAAATCTTGAAGCTCTCAGTGGGAATTTTTCATGTGACATAGAAGTTTTGGATCATCCAAAAATTTGCAGTAAGATCCCTAGACTTAAACAGGGTTCCTGGAATAAGGAATTGCAAGAAAGCAAGATATGGATAACAGATTATGGAGAAAACTGCCCTGATATAGAAATTTTAATAGGAGCTGATTTTTGCGGCCAACTTTTTACCGGGCGCATACATAAACTTAAATGCGGCCTAATAGCGTGTGAAACTTATTTGGGTTGGATAGTCATGGGTAAAGTGCCTGGAGAGAGATTTGACCATACCTCAACCAACCTGATAACTTCATTGTTTGTAACAAACGCATCAATAGCCAATCTCTGGGAAATGGATATCCTTGGTATAAAAGATCCTATTGAAACCAAATCTAGAAAAGAAATGGAAGCAGCAGCTGTCGATCATTTTAGGAAAACTTTTTCAATAAACGAAGATGGCCGTTATGAGGTCCATTTACCTTGGAAAGAAGCCAATTGTGAGTTGATTGACAACAGGGACATTGCAGAGAAAAGACTTATTTCGACATCTCTGAAGCTCATACGGGAAGAAAAGTATAATGATTACAATGCAGTTTTCAAAGATTGGGAAGAATCAGGGATAATAGAAGTAGTACCCGAAGAAGAACATCAACGTCCCTCTATTTACTTGCCTCATAGAGCCGTTATAAAGGAGAATTCCACAACCAAAATAAGGCCTGTATTTGATGCTTCTTGTCATGTAAAAGGGCACCTGTCACTGAATGACTGTTTGGAGAAAGGCCCCAATCTTCTAGAAGAAATTCCACCTATATTAATGAGATTCCGCAAGGATAAGATTGGCGTAGTTTCCGACATCAAAAAGGCATTTCTCCAGATATCTGTTTCGAAGGAAGATTGTGATTCTCTCCGTTTTTTGTGGTGGGAGGACTTTGAAAAAAGACAAACGAAGGTGTTCCGACATCGGCGTGTCGTATTTGGACTTACATGCAGCCCATTCCTATTAGCTGTTGTATTGAATAACTTGATAGAAAACGCCCCAATAGAGATGCAGGAAACAGCAGACATCTTAAGAAGATCCTTTTATGTAGACAATTGTGTTACCTCTTTGCCAACTGAAGAAAGAATGATAACATTCATTCATCAATCGAGAAATTTATTGGAAAGAGGCCGTTTTGACCTCAGAGGTTGGGAACATTCAAATTTCTACGAAATAAAAACTTCTGAGAAACCCATATCTGTTTTGGGATTACAATGGGATAAAAACGAAGATACTCTTTTTTGTGATATACCATCAGTTGAAGAATCGAAGAAAAATGTGACCAAAAGAAATATTCTTTCAACTGTGAATAAAATATTCGATCCTCTAGGACTTTTATGCCCTGTGACAGTCATTCCCAAGCTTATTGTGCAACAAACTTGGAATCTCAAGATTGGTTGGGACGCAGAACTTCCAGAAGAAATCCAAAATAAATTTGAAGTCTGGATTAAAGATTTAGAGTTACTATCCAGTGTTAAAATTCCCCGATGTCTCGATATATGCCAGCCCAGGTCTCAAATAAGCCTTCATGTCTTTGTGGATGCAAGCAAACTTGCATACAGTGCTGTTGTATACCTTAGGAGAGTTGAAGGCAAAACTATAAGGGTTGATTTTATTCAAGCGAAAAGTAGAGTCTCTCCTTTACACAAGATGTCAATTCCCAGACTTGAGCTACTTGCATGCTGTATTGGAGCACGACTAGCCCATTCCGTAATGAAGGCAATGGATTTGTTTGGTGTGCCCATTACCTATTGGACGGATTCCTCAACCGCTCTCAGTTGGATAATAAGGAATGAGAACTGGGGAGTCTTTGTTAATAACCGAGTAAGAGAAATCAGAACGCTTTCGAATAAAGATTCATGGAAACATATTTCCGGAGAGCACAATCCCGCCGATTTACCTTCAAGGGGTTGTTCAATTAGAGCCTATTTAAGATCCAAATGGTGGGAGGGGCCGTTATGGTTGAGACAAGACGAAGAAGATTGGCCAAAATCAGAAGTACAAATAGATGAAGAGGAAGTTTCAAAAGAAAAAAGGAAAGGTCTTGATTTATCATCTACCCTTCTCGTTACTGAGGAAGAGAGAAAATGGTACAACAGAAGGTTTTCGAAGTATTCTCAAATACTTAGAATGATTGCCTGGATTCTCCGTTTTTCAAATAACTCACTTAAAAGAAATAAGAAAATTACAGGTGAACTATTAATTACTGAATTGGAAATTGCAGAAAAGAAACTTGTAAAATTTATTCAACAAGACCATTTTAAGCAAAGTGAATGTCATAAACAGCTAAAATCGCTTTGTACCTTTCATGATGATGAAGGACTTCTTAGACTCAAGACCAAGATCATAAGACGTAAAGATGAAGAAAATTTTTTGTGCCCAATCATTCTCCCATCTAATAATGATGTGGTTAACAAACTCATCCATGAACGTCATTTACAACTCTCACATGCTGGAACTCAGGTTGTATTGACGAATATTAGGCAACAATTCTGGATTTTAAGAGGCAGAAAAACTGTGCAACGTGTAATAGCGAAATGTGTCCGGTGCAGGAGGCATGCTGCAAAAGGAGTTGAATCCATTCCTACATCACTACCAGAAGATAGAACCAGGGATACTTTAGTCTTTGAGGTAATTGGATTAGATCTGGCAGGACCGTTATACATGAAGACTGGAGAAAAATTGTGGATTCTACTGTTCACCTGCGCAGTGTATCGTGCTATTCACCTGGAGCTACTAAAAAGTGTGTCCACAAACTGTTTTCTTTTAGGCTTAAGAAGGTTCATAGCTCGCCGTGGTCGGCCTAAAATAATATATAGCGACAACGGAAGCAATTTTCTTGGAGCCTCGAATCTTATGAAAAGTCTAAACTGGGATCAGATAATTCGTGACACTTCAATCTACAGAATACAATGGAAATTTAATCCCCCAGCTGCACCATGGTGGGGCGGTTGGTGGGAGAGAATTGTGCAAATGGTGAAAAGTCTATTAAAAAAGGTGTTAGGAAAGGCTTGTCTTGTTTACGAAGAAATTCTAACCATTCTGTGTGATGTAGAAGCTGTAATTAATGCAAGACCCCTCACGTATGTCTCAGATGATCCAAGAGATTTGGTTCCCCTATCTCCATCACTGTTCATTCAGGATATTCCAACTGTTGGTGTCCCAGATTTGGATCATTTGGATGACGTTAATATTTCAAAAAGGTTGAGATACCAGCAAAGGCTACGTAAAGAATTTCGAAAACGATTCCGAGATGAATATCTTAGTCTTTTAGTGCAGTCACCTGTTAAGAAAAGGTATCTAATCAAAGAGTTAAAGATAGGTGATATTGTGTTAATTAAGTGCGATAATAAGAAGAGAATGGATTGGCCTCTTGGACGAATTATTGAAGTTTTTCCTGGACAAGACAATTTCATTCGTGTGGTTAAAGTTAAAACTGCGAATGGAGAATTGACACGACCTGTTAAAAATATATACCCCTTAGAGATTTCATGTAGTAATGAACTGTGCGAGAAAGTAGACATTACCAAAACAGAGTCTGTTGCTCCTGAAGTTGTTGTCAATCAAGACTCTGATACAACTCAGACTGTTGCTCCTAGAATTGTGGTCGCTCCAGACTCTGATTCCAAGAATGATCAAACTAGGTGCGGAAGAAGAATTAGACTTCCAAAACGTTATGATAACTAATTCAACTTCTCATTATTATTTGTAAACTGTTCTATCTTAATTTATATGAATGTTGAATTATATGTGTGTTGATTATATGCGTGCGTGTGTGATTGAGTTGAATGTTTTAAAATTAGTTTAACCTTAACTGTTTTGATAAATTAGCATTTATCAAAAGGTGGAAGTGTGGAAAATAGAGTGATAGTTTTTGTAAATATATGTCTGACGTCACAAAGTTATTTTATATGTTCTTTAAGTTGTAATTATTATATTTGTTAAAAGAGAAAATGGCAACGATGTTTGTATTCGAATGTTGATTAAATGATAATGGTGAAAGTTAATGAATCGTGTCAAGTTATTTTCTACTAGAATTATTATAATCTTGTAAAGTATACAAATTAAATGGAGTCAGATAATTAATAAGCTGAGTACGACTGAATGAAACAATATTCAGGGAGATACTACCGACAATGGTAGACGGATCAAGGGTTAGAGTCCTCTTACCATCAGGTTCATGATTTTCCTCTCTATGTGACGCAAATGCGAGTTAGTTCCATCAAAAAGTCCTCCATGAAGGCAAATCTCTCACAACTTGAGCCAGGAGTTCCCTTGTATTCTGGATTGGGTTCAAAATTACAATGCTGCGGAGTTGAACATTAGTATTCGTAAATCCCAAATAGGGTCGGCTGTTCAACGACGGTTATAAAATAAAATAAATGAACTTCCTTATATAAAATGTCAATAAAAAATAGCAACATTTAAAAAAAAATTTCTTTTGCAACATATTGAATAAATTATAAAAAAGGTATGAATTCATAAAAAAAATTCAATGAGTATTTCTCATCAAGCTTTTCAATTCAAAACAAAATAACTAATTTCAATGAAGAAAAATTGCATTTTCCTTATAACTACTCTCAATGTTTACAACAATTCTATATTGAACACTATAATTCAGCTTGTTTTATTTATTTTCAGCATATGCATACATCAAAAGCAAATTCATAATTCTAAATACTTTATTTCACACTAAATATTTTATAAATAATTAGTAGTCTTTTTTCTAAGTATATTCGCAGCCGCTAATGATCTTATTTTCTTCATAATTCCGAAGTTCCGCCTAAAGAAGCCCAATCATTTAGGGATCCATAACCGAAAAAAATTGGAAACCGCTGACATAGTTCAAGATGTGGATTAGCACCCACAATCTGCTGAATCTTCTACTCAATGCCCGTAAAATCAAAATAATTTTTTGTAACTTAGTACAGTCCATGGCCACATTATTAGATGCATTATAAGATTCTACGTAAAATCTTAATTATCAGGTGATATTATACAGCGTTATTGTTTTTACAAGGATGAAACCGGTTTGCATTTGCTTACGTCCATGTATAAATTGGTTAACATTGATTACAATGTAATACATTAGTTCAAAACGTTAACGTTATGTTAACGTTATGTTAAAAATGAAAACTAATATTAGTATTTATTTTTAACATATTACAATGTAATACATTAGTAATATGTTAAAAATAAATACTAATAGGAAGTGTATAAAAAATCTCCTGAATAAAAAGTCATTATATGGATATTTAAGTATAAAAGCATTGCATACAAACTCGTGCAAAACATGTAATTATTAAAACACTACAGCGCGCCTAATAATTTGGTCTAATTATTATAATATTCTAATTTATTACCTGATATAAGAAATATTCTATATTTATATAATATATCGTCTAATTTATCCAATCGTCGAATATATATCATATATCATCTAATTTAACAAATTGATAGACGGACGTAAAGAAGTGCAACCCGGTTTCAGTCACGTAAAAACAATAAAGCTGTAGGAGAGTCGGGTAGCCCCGCCTGCAGTCAATTTCATATGTATAGAATGTTTTTTCAAATCAATGGGCCATCGGACATTAATTGTTATATTAAGAAAATATTATTTTCAAAGTTTCAAGTATTTATGCAACTGTTAACATGGTAAACATTAGTTTTGAAAATATGTTGAACCCAGTAGTCATGAAATTAAGAAAAATTGGTTGAATGTTTCGATTAAACTTCATTTTAATACTAAAAAAATAATTTTTTCTATACATACAGCATTAAAGTAAGTAGTCTTAAGTTTAATTTGCACGAAGAAAGAAGTTTATATGTGAAAAATTGTTCGAGTAATTACAAATTTACAAAAAAATTGGATTTTGGGTAGCCCCGCTCATATGAATGTCGGGTATCACCGCCCAATTTTATTTCATCGAGAAATGTACGGTTGCAAAGATTATTATTTTATTCCTTCAAATTTGAACGTTATATGCATTTTTAACAACAAATATTGTTGTAATTAAATTATTGTAATTAAATGATAGAATTCACTAAAAGTATATAAATATGTAATAAATAAAATAATTTTGTGATAAAAATGATAAATGAGGTTTATCTATTGTCAATACATTGGTCACTTTCATTTGTACCTGAAAAAACACAATTTTTGTAGCTGGGTGGGGCTACCCGACACATTTTGAAAAGAGCTGAAAAACATGTTTTTTTAAATTTTTATTTTTTTAAGTTAAACTATTCTTTTTTGGTTCATTCTTTTTGCATTATTTAATTAGATGGTAAAACAATAGAAACATACAAAAATATTGATTCTTACTCAATATTATACAGAAATATAAGCAATACTCCTTAAGTGGGCGGGGCTACCCGACTCTCCCCTATTAACCTGATAATTAAGATTTCACTTGGAATCTTATATTGCGTCTAATCATTTGGAAAGGGGCTGTATACTAAGCTAGAAAATTAATTTTTGTTTAGTGAAAGATGATTTTGTTGTCAGTAGTTTAATGGAGTTATTTGTAGCACAGAAATACTGAAAAAATTCTAATTGGATTCTTAGTAATGTATGCATGTAATAATGTTCTAAATTTTACCATATTCATCAATAAGTGTGTTCCAAGTTTTTCATTTATATTATTTTTTAAACAATTGTCATGTTAAATATCTGAATATTTATTATGTTTAACATGTGCTTTGCATGTATAGAATTAAACTTCATATGCAAACATAAATACACTGGTATAAGCCTGCCTAAACATTTTTTTTTAAATTTCCTTTAAATAAATTAGTGAACATTTATTCAAATAGAAAAAATAGGAAGCACCCATTAAGATTTATAATGCACCCTATTGTTGAAAGAAAATCTAACTCAATCGCTACATCAAAATAATCAGTTAATTAGGTCCGCGTAATCAACTCGTTAATTCTAATTTAATTAGTTTTGTTACTTTCATCTACGTGAAAAGAAGTATAACAAAACCACTAAAATTAACCACGGCACCATAAATAGAAAACAAAAACGCATTGAAATCTTTTATAAATGAGTTACCGATTCATTAAATTTGTGTAAACCGCCCCATAAATAAAGAATCAAAAGCATTAGTTTCAAAAAAAAAAGTTTAATTAATGCACCATCTTTCCAATTAAATTGTCTTTGTTAAAGAGATGAAAGATAAATATATTAAAAAATCTCTATTAGTAATCAATAATCATTTAGTTACTTTTTATAAAAAAGCATAAGCGTGTTTGCTAAAAATTATTCAATTAAAATATATTTGTTAAAATATTCCTTTGAACTAAGTATCATATTAATTTGATTTTGGTAATTAAAGCATCTTAAATGTATCTCATATAGATTTAAATATTTCATGCTAGTAAATTATTAAACGTGTATCATGTAATAGAAACAACTGAATAAAGCACAAATAATTGCAGAAAATTAATCTTGCTGTAGATTTTTGTGATTTTTGTGCAGTAATTTTGTATTTCGATATTGAGGAAAAATCGACTTTATAAAACCAATGCTATAATGTGTATGATGCACTTTTGTACCTTAATTTCTTCTTACTTCCGGCTTTTCAATTCCCATTATTAATTCACAATCTCCCTTTACTTATTTATATATCTTGTTCAAAATTTCAATCGTTAATAGAATACTTTTAATTCAGTCACTCAAGTTCAAATACATTTTCTTAAACTTGTAGTGGATGACACTTAATCTTAATACAGTTTTTCCAAATATTAAATAATTAATTAAATTTAATTAGTTAATTAAATTTAATTAATTAATTTTAGTTTTATAATATTTTATAATTAATTAATTAAATTAAATTAGTTAATTAAATTTAATTAATTAATTTTAGTTTTATAATATTTTATAATTAATTAATTAAATTTAATTAATTAATTTTAGTTTTATATGGGAGAAAAAGATTGCAATAATGAATCATTACAAGAGGTGGATAGAATGGGAAACTATAGACCACCATCAGCCTCATAAATAAGAAACTAAAATAAATAAAAAGCTAATAAATAGTAGTAACAAACAAAAATAATCATCCAACACCATAATTAAAAAGGAGAATTGCAAGGAAATTCGCTTTCGATTTTGCCTTTTAATATTGTGATTCTGTCGTATGTATATACATAATTATATTAATTGTAATTATTTAATAAAAAGTAACTAAAATAAAAATTTTCCTTGTTGACCTAAGTAGAAATTGACTTTAATTTTTTCTTATATTACTTGTTTTTTATATTATTCATACATGGAGAAAAGTATTCTGGTAAAATTACCATTCTATTTGGTAATTTACTTTTATCATATATCGTATAGTATTCATACTTTTTTCTCAGTGTACTTAGCACAGTGTCTACTTTATCTTTATTTAAATTAATTATTTAAATTATTTATTCTACTTAGTAATGAAATCTAAAAGTTTAGGGAACATTTCTGGAAAATAAAAAAATCATAATTTTGATTTATAAAAAACAAAAAATATTTTCAATCAACTATTCGTTAATTTTTCCGTTTAATTCTGATTTTCAAAATCGTAGCTCTCATTACCACACACTTAGTTAAAAATACAAAACCTAAAAGCAAATTTAAATGAATAAATAGTTCTTTCGCCATGCTTTAAGGTATCATGATAATATCGCCTAATTTTTCCATATTTACC